AGAGTCTTTATAGGTTTTGAAGCAAGGGGTTGAGTAATATGGTGAAAGTGTGTAAGTTGAATGCATGGATAGAGACTGTTGCAGACATCTAATTGTGAGCCAGTGAGGGCCTGGTCCAGCGTGGTGACTGCAGGCTAGAAAGAAAGACACCTTTGCAAGGTACCTCAACGGAAGAATCAGTGGATCTTCCTAACAACCTAAAGGTTGGTGATAGAGAAGAGGAATCAGTGCAGCCTCTGACCTTCCTGCCTAAAACCTCAAAGAATGATGTGTTATTGGAAGAAGGAAGCAATTGGAAAAGGGAACTAGCTTAGGGGATAAAGGTGAGCTGTTGTGAACACTCTGACTTGGAGTAAGCAGGTTACATGTGAAGATGTCCTGATAGCTTCTGGAAATGTGAGCTTAGGGGACCTGTGTGAGGGGATCTTGGGAGTGGTTTTCATGGGGTCTCCAGACAGTGCAGTGATGGTGTGTGAACTCGCCAAGGCCTTTAGTGACTCAGGCACATAGGCATCGAGAAGGAGATGGACTTGGTCCTGTGCTGCCAGGAGACTAGTTCTGATGCATCATCAGGATCTTGTCTTGTGACTGGTCCAGAACAGCACAGAAAGGAAACGTTAACTAACATATAACCTGTGTCTTAGGAACATACCAGCAATCCTTGAGAGTTTACTTATTAGACTTTGAATCTAATTCTGTGACCTCTTTGTCCTTGACCCTTCAAAGACTGCTTGGAGGCCACTTACTTCCTCCCCACACTGAGAAAGAGGCCTGGTCTTGCCATAGCATTTCCACTTGTTCATGCTCACACTGCTTCTTCATAAATGTGGGAGTATTCACCCGTTCTCTGACTTGAGTTGTCCTATAAAAGAGTTGGTGAGGCCAACATTCCAGGGCTGAAAAGGGAATGTCATTCCTTGAGAGATAAGAAGCAGGAGGAGCCGAAACAAACAGCCCTTCTCTAGTCAGGCTGGCCTAACATCTACCAGGCAGTCAGTGAGGTTGGGACAATGGGAAGGGCTAGAGGAGGAGCAGCCTGTACAGTACAAGGAATTTGCCATTAATAGGCAACAAGTCTCATACCCTGCCCTGGACCGTGACCCTTCCCTTTGGAATTCTCCCCTCTGACCTCCAGATCATTAATCTGAAGGCTGCCAAATGATAGTCATCTATTATGCCTCCTGACTAGTACCTGTGAAAGGCACTTGGCTCCGCCCTCCCTGTATCTCCTGGTACTCATTAGTGGACCTTCCTGCTCAGTGCCAGCTTTCCTAGTCACAGCTAGACTCCTCTTATTTCCCTTCGAGGCCAAGGGGCTGAAGCTGCCCCTCCCTTTCAAAGACCAGAGAGAGGGTGGAGTCATTAGTGAAGAGAGCTTATTGAGTGGCTTTTCACTGCCCTGGAAACTTGTGTTTCCTGCAGCTCCTTTGATATGGTGGGGACATAGGAGAGAAAAGCCCATTTCTCTCTGGTGCAGCAGGAGAGGAAGAAAGAAGCAGTTATCCAGGGGGATGAACCAGGCAGGGGCTCCCCTGTCAAGCATACCAACTCCAAATTGAGAAGGAGCTGATTGGCATGTGAAGGCTGCCATTGGACACGTGAAGGCAGAGGAGTGAACTGCCACATCATTAAGACAGAATCTGGACTCAGTACTGCTAGGAAAATTAAAAAATCTAGTCCAACCCTCTTATTTGTAGACTAGTGGCCTGGTGCACGAAATTTATGCATAGTGGGGAGAGAGGTTCCCTCAGCCCAGCCTGCAACCTCCCCAATCTGGGATCCCTCTCACAATCCAGGACTGCTGGCTCCCAACTACTCGCCTGCCTGCCTGCTCACCCCCAAATGCCCCTCCCCATCAGTCTTCTCACCCCCAATGCTGGCCTGATTGCCCCTGACTGCCCCCTAATGCCAGCCTGCTCGCCCCCAACTGCACCCACCCTGCCGGCCTGCTTGCCTCTAACTGCCCTCCCCTCCTGGCTTGAGTGCTCCTAACCACCTCTGCCTCGGCCCTGCCACCATGGCTTTGTCCAGAAGGACATCTGGAAGATCTCCCGGAAGGTCTGGTCTAATTAGCATATTACCTTATTATTAGTATAGATGGAAAACAGATCCAAAAAGGTTCCGTGTTTTACCCAAGGCCACACAGCCTGTGAGTAGGACCTGTCTTTCTGTTCATCATAAGAGAAGTGGCAGCTAGTCTGATAGCTTCCAGGTTTGGGGAGTTTGAGTTAAATTATACTTCTAAGCAGATTCATGAACATAATATTTCCAACTGAACAAAAAGTGGGCATACACAGGTGTCTTTTTTTTCTTCTCCCCCCCCCCCCCCCCCATGGATGTTTTGTGTACTATCTTTTAAAAAAAATAAAGCTTTATTGTTCAGATTATTACAGATGTCTTTCCCCCCCCTTCCATAGTTCCCCTCCACCTGTTTCCCACCCCCCCATGCCCTACTCCCCCCTCCCCACTGTCCTCATCCATAGGTGTAAGATTTTTGTCCAATCTCTTCCCACACTCCCACACCCTCTTCCCCCCGAAAATTGTCAGTCCACTCCCTTTCTGTGCCCCTGATTCTACTATATTCACCAGTTTATTCTATTCATCATATTTTTTATTCACTTGATTTTTAGATTCACTTATTTTTTAAAATATTTTTTTATTGATTTTTCACAGAAAGGAAGGGAGAGATAACCAGAAACATCAATGAGAGAGAATCATCGACCAGCTGCCTCCTGCACACCCCCCACCGGAGATGTGCCTGCAACCAATGTATATGCCCTTGACCGGAATCGAACCTGGGACCTTTCAGTCCGCAGACCAGTGCTCTATCCACTGAGCCAAACCAATTTCGGCTAGATTCACTTATTGATATATATTTGCTGTCACTTTGTTGTTCATAATTTTTATCTTTACCTTTTTCTTCCTCTTCTTAGAGAATATACTTCAGCATTTCATATAATACTGGTTTGGTGCTAATGAACTCCTTTAGCTTTTTCTTGTCTGTGGAGCTCTTTATCTGACCTTCAATTCTAAATGATAGCTTTTGTTGGTAGAGTATTTTTGGCTGTAGGTTCTTGCTATTCATCACTTTGTATCTTTCTTTCCACTCCCTTCTGGCCCGCATAGTTTCTGTTGAGAAATCAGCTGACAGTTATATGGGTGCTCCCTTATAAGTAACTAAACTGTTTTTCTCTTGCTGTTTTTAATATTCCCTCTTTGTCTTTTGCCCTTGGCATTTTAATTATGATGTGTCTTGTTGTGGTCCTTTTTAGATTCCTCTTGTTCGGGGTTCTCTGTGCTTTGTGGACTTTTAAGTCTATTTCTTTCACCAGGTAGGGGAAATTTTCTATCATTATTTCTTCAAATAGGTTATTAATAGCTTGCTCTCTCTCTTCTTCTGTCATCCCATAATTCAGATGTTAGTATGCTTGAAGTTGTCCCAGAGGCTCTTTACACTATCTTCATATTTTTGGATTCTTTTTTTCTTTTTGCTTCTTCGTATTTCAAATCTTTGACTTGATTCTTGAGATCCTCTAGTCTGCTGTTGAACTTCTGTATATTATTCTTTATTTCAATCAGTGTATGGCTTAATTTCTGATTGGTCCTTTTTCTTATCCTTGAGTGTCTCACTAAATTTCTCAGAGGTTTCTAGAAGATTCTTGAGTAACCTTATAACCGTGGTTTTGAACTCTTTGTCCATTATTTTGTTTTCATCCATTTCTTTCATTTGTGACTTGTTTCTTTGCCTCTGCATTTTGGCTGCTTCCCTGTGTTTGTTTCTATGTACTGGGTAGCTGCTAAATCTCCTTAAGTTGATAGGTGGCCTTTGTGTACTAGGTGTCCTATAGGGCCCAGTGGCTCAGCCTTCCCAGTCACCTGAGGTGGATACTCTTGGTGCATTCCTTTGTGGGTTGTTTGCACAGTCTTATAGTTAGCCCTTGATTGCTGTTGGTATCGCTGGGAGTAATTGGCCTCCAGGCCAGTTGGCTGCTATCACCAGCTGTGTCTACACTGGAAGATCTGTTGCGCAGGAGACACTCTTAGGGGCATGACTTGCTTCAGTGGGGCTTTGGTGCTCACTGAGTCTGCCCCCTGAGTATGTCTTTTATAGATCTAAAGAGTTGTAATCTGGTTTGGTCTCACTCTGACCACTGGGTACACTGGCTCTTTAATCTTCAAGGAGGAGCAAGGTCAGCCACTGCCAGAGGCTGCCCAGCAGGAGCTACAGAGAGATCTGCAGATTCTTCCTCTTTGTATGGGGTTTGGAAGTGCCTAGATGAGGCCCAGCTGTGAAGCAAGGCAGGCTGCTGCTGTTACTGCTGCTGTGGGGCATTGGGCCTTCTTTTGTAGGCTCTGGGGCTCTCTGACCCAGCTGCTGTTTGACAGGTTTTAGGCTAAAGGACAGGCCATTCATATGCAAAAGCTGGTGAGCACAGCTTTGGTGGGATTGTAAATTGGGTGGGGCGGGGTCTCTGGGAATCACCAGGGCGGAGCAAATAGCGATGGCTGCCCTGAACTGGAGAAGTCCCCCGTTCTCCACATCCCACGTTGTCTCTGTGCAGAAACAGTGATCACTGTGAGCACCTCTGAGAGAAAGCCACCCTTGCATTCCTGTCCCGATGCCAGACAGTCCAGTTTCTCCCATATTGGGTCCCCCAGAGTCTCACCGGGAACTGGAATTCAGAGCAAATGGGAATTTGTATCTTCCTTCCTGTTAAAAGAGGAGCACACCCAGGTGCCAGCACTTTCTGCGCCTCCACTCCTCTTTCCCGTCTCAGTGGGCTTTCTTCACCTCTCTAGTTGTGGGACTTCCTCTCAGCCAGCTATCCTAAGGTTCTGGGTGGTAGTTGTTCTGCTGTTTAGTTGTGGTTTTGATGTGGTTGTAAGAGGCAGTAAGTATAGGTGATTACCTATGCCGCCATCTTGGTTCTCTCCACAGGCATCTTTTTTTTTCTCTGCTTGATGATGCACCCTCTGTTTCTCTCTTTGGACAATCACAGGGACCCCTATCAACCGAATTCCTATCATGGCCAAGCAGATCCTAGACCTGTATATGCTGTACAAGCTGGTGACAGAGAAGGGTGGCCTAGTGGAGATCATCAACAAGAAGATATGGAGGGAGATCACCAAAGGCCTGAACCTGCCCACATCCATCACCAGTGCTGCCTTTACCCTGAGGACCCAGTAAGTTGCCAGGGCCTTGGAGAAAGGGGGCTGAGACTGGAGAAAGGGATGTTTTAACTTAGAGGAGAGAAAGGAAGAAAATTCCACTGTACAGTGAACAAGATGTGTGGGATTCCTGCGACAGCCAGGAGCTTTCTGAGGTCAGTCCCTCACTAGACCAAAGTAATGATGAGAGTCGTCATTTCCCTAGTGGCCCACATGCTTCTGCTTCAGCATTCTATTGCTTTCCTAACACTCTGGAAGTTGCTCTGTGAAGAATATGTAACTGATATACCAGTTATGTAGCATGTCATATCCTTGTTGAAAAGTTGCAAGGGTTTATCTATTGGAACTGACCCAGCAGAAGTGGGGATTAGCACTAAACTAGTATAGCAGGCCTTCTTTCAAGATTCTTGGGTAGAGAATTGCCTCCTGGGACATCTGACACACAATGGGCAGAATTGCCCCTGTCTAACCAGCCTGACTTGGGATGGTTAGGAGATGAGCAAGACAGTCATGTCACAGCACGGGCTTGGTTTCTGCCAGGGCTCTAAAAAGGAGCCAAAATGACCATCGGCGGAGTTTTCCTTTATTTCCCTTCGTGAATGACGCCTCCACTTTGAGCCGTGTGCAGAACTAAGGAGCAGTTAGAGGGGCCTGGACCAGGGTGGTCAGCAGTCCCCAGCTAACTCTTCCACTGGGTGATCTAGGAGGTGGTCCTTTGTCCTAGAGGCTACTCCCACAGACCCAGCAGCTCAGATGGACTGTTTCTGGTGCCATGTTTTGATTGCCCTTGCTTGCTTGCTTCCTTCCAGGTACATGAAGTACCTCTATGCTTACGAGTGTGAGAAGAAAGCCTTGAGCTCCCCAGCTGAGCTCCAGGCAGCCATTGATGGCAACCGGCGGGAGGGCCGCCGGCCCAGCTACAGCTCCTCCCTCATTGGCTACTCACCCACTGCCACAGCTGCTGCCACCAGGGCCCCGGCCCTTCTCTCCACACCCAAGATCCGCTTCCCCGTCCTTGGGCTGGGCTCCAGCAGTGCTACCAGTGGCAGCAGCCCTCGGGTATTCCCAGCAACTACTCTCAGGAAAGGTTTGCAGGGCTCAGAAGGAGGGGGAAGGAGGGAGAAATGGAGCCAAGTTTCTGTGTGAAGTCCTGGGTGGGAGGGTGGATTGTGGGTTGTTCTAGCTCTGGTGCTTTTGCCAGGTGATGGAGTCCCGGTGACAACAGTACCTGTGCCAAATCGTCAGGCTGTGCCCATGACCCTGACAGACCAGCAGGCTAGTACCCGGATGGCCACGCTGGAGCAGCTGCGGGAACAGCTGGAGCCAGGAGAGCCCCCTGGGAAGAAGGCTTCCAGGCTGTCTGAGGAGGAGCAGCGCCTAGTGCAGCAGGCCTTCCAGCGCAACTTTTTTAGCATGACCCGGCAGCTACCCATGAAGATCCGGGTCACTGGCAGGGGTGAGTGTGGCTTGGACCCATTCAGGAGCGCATCACATCCCGTAGGACTGGAGTGGGCGCTCCTCCAGATAGATCTCAGTTCACCAAGCCAAGGACATTTTCTAGAGGAGCAGAAATTGCCTCAGGAAGTGCCCTATTCTTTAGCCATAAGAAGCATGCTTTCTAGAGGAGGAACCAGAGAACTTTAAGGACAGTAGCTGTATGTCTGTCCCTCCACCTCACCTCCAGCCTTTTGATCTGTCTAAATTAAAGGGCTCAGCCTTCACTCCAGTACCTTACCGAAGGTAGAGATTGTATGCAAGTGCAAGGCAGATCTGGGAGAAAGTTAGCACTTCTGTTCTTGAGACTCTAGAGGGGCTCTGATGCCTCAGGCTAAGCTGCCAGTGTCCCTCAGAGCAAGTGGAAAGGAGGAAGCACAAGTTTGGCAGCATAATTGACAACCTTTCCCTTCCTCTTTGCATTTTTCAGGTGCCCCACTTTCATATCCCCTGAAACACATACTCTATGTCCCTTGTTCCTCTCCTCACCCTTTTCTCCTCACACACATTTTCTTTGCCCTTTATTGCCCTTGATGCTGTCTCACAACAAACATGAAATAGGTGTGTGTGCGGAAGAAAGCAGGTGTGGAGGGAGGGAGCTGTGCATATTCCCAGGCAGCCTGTCCCTCTTCCGCCTTCCCCTGGTTGAGGAGCAGAAGGAGACTGAGGTGACAACCCGGACAGCAGGGCTCTGCTGTTACCCATTCAAGGCCAGGTGCCCTGGTCCTGCACATGCCAGAGGCTAATAGAACAGGCAACTTACCTGGAGGATTTCGTGGCCCTGTGTGTGGTGAGCAGACAGAAGTGAGCTGGGCAGAGGCCTTCCACAAGCCCCCGATGCCCAGGCTGAGATGAAACACCACGTACTGGGTAGGTAGACCTCTCCTAAGGACCTCCCATTCCAGTGAAGTGGGAGACAGTGGCAGCGAGGTGAGGCCTCAGGCAGACGGGATCTTCCTGATCTCCAGTTCCCCAGTTGATGGGTAGTTTGCCAGATTTGCTCAGGGAAGTTTGCCAGATTTCTTTGAAAGCACCAGCACGCAGCTGTGAGCCAAGAGAAACCTCCTTGATGATGGTGATCCCTTTTTTCTTCAATCAGAGTTGAGGAGGTGAAATGGCTCAATAGAGAAAGCAGCAACAGGACATTAGCAAGTCTGAGTCTTCAGAGAAGATTATGTAAATACTTCCTAACAGTGGGCCTTGGCCCGCTGTGGCCAGATATGGGAGCGCCACAGAAAGGACAACAGAAGTGCCAGAAGGCTTGACCAGGTCCTCTCTCTCTTGTCCCCAGCAGAAGACAGATCAGAGGCCTCAGCTACAGCACTGAGTCTGACCTCGGGCAGCATTGGGAGCATTAACATGTCTGTGGACATCGATGGCACCACCTACGCAGGTGAGGCCCTTGGAGCTCCAGGGAGGCGCTGTGTGGTGGCCAGCATCTGCAGCTGCCCGAGGGGCCCATTTGTTACCCTCCTGATGCACACCTTCCTTGGGGCTCCGGAGGTAAAGTGGATCTTCTGGACTAGCAGAGGCTGAGGATTGCTAACATGATGACAGATCCCCCTCCACCTTTGACAGACGATAGAAACCCTACACTGAACCTTTTTGGACAATGATTGGCTTGCTAATTGGAAAAAAAAAATATCACCTAATGTGAAGAACCATAATCAATTCTATATCCATGCCTTAAACATTATATTCTAAATCCACCATTATGGTCTTCTAATATTCGGGTCTCCTTTCTTTGTGCTTCAGCTGTTCTCTTTCCAAACCTCTGTCATTCCTTTTCTTTAAAATGGATCAAGGACAGAAACAGGCAAAGGGATCTGAATGTGCAGAATTGACCTATATTTGTTTGTCATTTTTCCTGTCACAGTTTTCTCTCCCTTAGTGTAATTTGGCAATAGTGGTTGGTTTAACCCAGTGGCTGGCAAACTGCCGCGGTTGACTAATGAGTTTGCCGACCACTGCCTTAGGGAAAAACACTTAAAAAAACATTTTAATAATGTATTAATGTCTTCCACCTGAAGTCAAAACTTCTGGGTAAGGGTAATGCCTTACGGAGGGGTCGGCAAACTCATTAGCCGACATAGCCGCAGTTTGCTGACCACGGTTTAACCAGTCTTCCCCAGCCGTCAACTTAGTTTTCATAACATCAAACCTCTTTCCACTCCTGTTTCGTTGGTTTATGGATGAGTTTGGGAATAAATCCAGCCAACTTGTTAAGCACAGCTTGATGAGTTGGGGCTAAAGAGTTCAGACATTCTGGCCAGTGGCCTTCTGCCAGAAGCCCCAGCATCAGCCACCTGTTTTAGAGAGGGCTTGAAAGGTGTCCTTAACATCAAAAAGGGGGATATTTCCTCAGGACATGCTTTTAGTCCTTTGAATTCTCCTATGCTAGGGACAAGGCCCCCTCAGGGCACCATCCTGCAGGCCTCATGCTATGGGTCTCTACTGGGCTACCTGCTGCAGACATCACGGTCCGCTGGAAAAGGACAGAGTTCCTGGGAGCAGCCTGCAGAGAGGTAGCCATGACAGGCTGTCTCCCCATTACCACTAGTGTTTCAGAGGGCTCTGTCTGATGTGGGGGCCCTCGAGACCAGGCGAGCCAGTGGGTAGGACTGTGGTACTCTTTGCATTCTGGTGGTGCAGTGATGGTCTAGGACAGCGGTCGCCAACAATTGGTTCCTGGTGGTCCATGAGGTCCGAAAGTTGGCGACTGCTGCTCTAGAGGGCTTGGGGGTTGGGAAAGAGGATTCACGGAAAAAGCAGGGAAGGAGGATGTTGGGGCCTGATCTCCACATCTTTTTGTCCTCTTTCGGGAGAAGGGAGACAGAACGCTTTTCTCTCAAAATGGGGAGCACTTAGAAGAGAGTTGAAAGTTCCCCAAACCTCACCTGCTTCAGTTTCTGTTTCACCAGTGCCCTTTCTCAGTGGGTTTGCAGTCGTCCAGACCAGGAACCTGAAAGTCGTTCCTGAGAGCTCATCATGCTCATCTTGGTCCCTCAGAGCGGAGCAGACCTCACTACTCTGTGCTCTCCTCTTCCTCCCCTGCTCTCCTCACTGCCAGTGTCCTGGGTCAAGCCTCTCAGCTCTCTTGCAGACTTCCATCACCCATATTCCCCCCCGTCCCCACAGAGAGCATTCTAAAACGTACATATCATGAGACCCCTCCCTTCTTAAAAATTTGAGGGCCTTCATGACACCTACAGGGTAGGAACTGGCTTCCTTAGGGTGTACAGACCTCACTGCTTTGTCTTCCATCTCTCTAGCCTCATCTGCCTCCAGACCACACGATGGCGTGGCCTGCAGCACGGTTGCTACCTCTCTCTTTTCTTTGTTCAGATCTCTTCTTCCCTTTTTCTTTGGCCACTTTTTCTAATAGTGCAGGCATAGCCTTCCCCTGAAGCCTTTCCTGACCAATTTTCCCCTGCTGTCCAAAACCTTTTTGTTCCCACAGCACCCTGGGGACACTTTCCTCAGAGCATTAGTGATATTTCAGCAAAATTACTCTGCCCACCTGTGTCTCTGCCACCAGCCTGTAAGCCTCTGGAAGCAGGACAGTATTTGGGACCTGTTAGCACACGACAGCATCCAGAGTGGGGCCTCACCCAGTTAAATCAGTGGAATCAATGGAACCACCCTTCTTTCTTGGTCTGTTCACACTTGCTTCTCCTCCCCACCCCAGGTGTGCTGTTTGCCCAGAAGCCTGTGGTCCACCTCATCGCAGGGTCTGCTCCCCAGAGCAGCAGCAGCAGCAGCAGCAGCAGCAGTTCTCACTGCTCACCAAGTCCTACCTCATCACGGGGCACCCCCAGTGCAGAGCCCTCCACCAGTTGGTCCCTCTGAGGGGCAGGACCCAGCTTCCACTCCCCACTCTTCTGTCGAGAGTGAAGGAAGTTGATGCACAAAATTTACCTCATCTCACGGATCCCATGTCAAATACCAGATGTTGTGAGTTTGGACATGTTCACTTGTCCAGGCTCCATTCAGGTCCTGCTGTACTCGGGGACAGAGAGAAGCTGGAGGGACGGGACAGGGCAGCGTTGTCCAATCAGGGATTGTCCTGGAGAAATGGGTGGGGTCTGTGGGCAGCCAGCTTCCTGGGATTCCCAGGCCACCTCCCATCCTGGGCACAGTGTATTGACAATCTGTAAGCCAACACAAGGCTGAGGCCCTCCATATCCTTTCTCCTTTAATTTATTTTCCTTCCCCTGCCTTCTGCCATGACCCCAGGGTCACTGGTCCCTTCCCCTGCTCAGTGCCCCAATCTTTAACTCTCGTGTGGGTCTGCTAGGAGCCGAGCACATGCCTTCCTATCCCTATCTGCTGAGCATGAGATAGGGCTTTCCTTACCTAACATATTGGTTCCTGGGGCATGGGTCCCTCCAATTCAAGTCTTGAAGCAGTCCTCAGGTCCGAAGGCCCATTGGACATCTGCTAAGGGAGAGCAGAGTCTTGGAGGGCTGCCCAGGCAGGCTCTAGCACCCACTTCAAACTGACCCTCTTGGACCCCACGCGTCCCACTTGCCCTTGTTGGTCAGCTATGCCGAGAATAGCCCACTGGCCTCTTGGGGCCATCTTAGCCCTAACATCCCCAAGCCTGCTAACTTCAGGTTCATTGAAATACCTCAGATTTGTAATTGTTGATGTTTGATTCTTCAGAAGTATTTGCATCTCTGAAGTCTTTTAATATGTGTTTTGCTGACCTGATTTTTTATTTTAAATTTTTTATTGTTATAGCACCAAAGATATGAGAGCAGATCACCCCAAAGCCAAACAAATGATTTGGTACCTAAGCCCCTCTGGCCCTTCCTTGCAACCTTGGTGAGGAAGCAGAAGGCAGGCAGGAGAGATGACTCAGGGATCGGAACAGCAGGGAGATGGAGTGGAAGCCAGGCTGGGTCCTGAAACCATACCAGTTCTGAAGATGGTTCTCCAGTCAGTTCCTATCAGAGCAGGGCTAGTCCCAACCCTAACTCCTACTCTTCCCCTTCACTTCACTCCCACCTCAGGACAGGCAGGCCATGGCCCTTAGAAGATGACAGAGCTTTATCTTCTCAAACCCTGGAGCGGAGCAGGCTGCTCCAGTGTTGTAAGGAAGAACTGGTTCTCACACAAGGCTCTCCTGGAAATGAATAAGCCCTACGGAATGCTGTAGACAACACACGCTGTAATACTGCTGGGTTGTATGAGCCCGCGTGGCTCGAGCCCACTCTTGGCTAACATTCAGTCCTGTCTAGGAAAGGAAAGAGAATTCCAGAGCTTGAGCACAAAATGTGCCTCAGCTCTGCTGGACCTTATCTTCTCTCACCCCTCTCCTGGCCCTCCACCAGAGCTGACCCTCTTACCAGGCAAGTGCAGGGTGTGGGCAGAGAAAGGCATCTGGGACCTGGTGCCTGGGAGGAGCCCAATTGGCTGGCACTGGGCCCACCTGAAGGTGTTAAACATTTGCCAGTGTGTTTCTCAGGCGCTTGGTTACGAAGGATGGATTCTTCCCACCCAGAGGACACAGGGACAGCACACTGTCTTTCTGGTCATTGAATTTGATTCCTTAGGCAGCTAGCCTGGCCTCCCCTCTCAGTGAACCCTTGCTGTCCTCAGGACAACAGCAGGGTTTCAGCCTGAAAGCCTGGGAATAGGGGCACCAGTAGGTGTCTCTAGGAACAGAGCCTGGGCCACAAGGAACCCTGAAGGTGCCGTCCTGAAGGCCCCACAGGCAGGCAGCCCGCGCAGCTCTGTCCCCTCCCCTCCCCATCTTATGTGTATTCTAGCCAGGAAAAATGTGATAGCACATGGGTAGCCCAGGCAATGGATAAATACCTCAGACGTCTTCTTGCAGCAAGTGTCTGTATATGTTGTGATTATTTTCTATCTTACATGTTCTTGAATGTTTATATTTCAATAAACCTCTACCTCTTCACACAAGAAGGTGGATGTTTTCAGTGACTCTTCCATGGGCAGTATGAGGGGAGAGGCCAAAGCCTCTTCAGAATAAAAAGGGACTGAGGGAACTGCTCCTCCGACCCACTGACTTTTCCTGCGCTCTTACCCCTTCACTGCTCCCCTATTCTTTCCCCCTAAGCACTCACTCACCTATCTTCTGTATCAGCAGTGACCTCTGGCGATGCCTGATCACCAAAACTGATTCCAGTGGTGTCACATCAGAATCCTGGCAGGCACAGGCCTGGGGGGGGGGGGGGGGGTAGCCTCCATATAACAAGCCCCCCGCCCTTTAAAACAATATTTTATTGACTGACTATAGAAAGACAGATGCATTGATTTGTTGTTCCACTTATGCACTCATTGGGTTTTTTTCTTGTATGTTCCCTGACTGAGATTGAACCCGCAACATTGGTGTGTTGGGCTGATGCTGTAACCAATTGAACTACCCTTGCAGGAACTGGAAAGCTCTTTTGAGCTTCTACTGAAGAAGTGGTCCCCATGCACGTGGAGCTCACAGTCTTCTCTGGGAGGCATACACAACCAATTCTTTAAAATACAGTGTGACTGAGACAGTAGACAATTGAAGTAGAGGAGCTACCTGATAGATGCTGGGGCAGCTCACTAGGGAAAGATAAGATTTGCCAACTGAAGACATGAGGAAGTCTCAGCAGAGGAACTGATGTACATGTGTATCTATGTACATATGGAAACGTGGTGGCTTCAAAAGATCTGGTATTGTGGCCCTGGCCAGTCCTGGGGTTGGTGGGTGGAGTAGAGGACAAGTGGGTAGAAGTGTAGCTGGGGCCGTAGAGTCCCAAGCTAATGGATTTGGGCTCCATTCTCAGCATGAGGAGGTCACAGCCAATGTGTTTTTTAGGAAACCCACTTTTCTAGAAAGTTGATCTGGAGCAGGGAGACATTATGAGTGTGAATACCTGGAATACCCCCTGGAACTCAGTGCTTAGTCCTTTTCTCTGCCATGATACTCACTTTTTTTTTTTTTTTAATATATTTTATTAATTTTTTACAGAGAGGAAGGGAGAGAGAGAGCCAGAAACGTCGATGAGAGAGAAACATTGACCAGCTGCCTCTTGCACACCCTCTACCGGGGATGTGCCCGCAACCAATGTACATGCCCTTGACCGGAATCGAACCTGGGACCTTTCAGTCGCAGACCGATGCTCTACCACTGAGCCAAACCTGTTTCAGCTTGTTTTGTTTTTAATTTTATTTTGTTTTAAAGTATTACAAATAGTAGTGCATATGTCTCCTTTCCTCCCCCGCCCCCCATTGACCTTCCCCCGGCCTCCCCTCACCCCCCCTTTAGTGTTGTGTCCATTGATTATGCTTATATGCATGCATACAAGTCCTTTGGTTGATCTCTAACACCTCCTTCCCCCATTGCGTACTTTTTAATAGAGCTCTTTTTCATGTTTCTTTTTAAAATACGTTTTTATTGATTTTTAGAGATTGAGGGAGAGAGAAATATTCGATACATTGATTTGCTGCCTCCTGCATGCCCCCTGCTGGTGATCGAGCCAGCAACTGGGGCATGTTCCCTGACCAGAAATGAACCTACAACCTCTTGGTTCATGGATTGACATTCAACCACTGAGTCACACCAGCCGCGCTACCATGATGTACATTTTATGGTTCCAACCTGGTTTTGAAAAACTAAAAGAAATGAGCAGAGGTAAAGGATTGGGTAGATTTGTAATTGTCCTCCTCCACCCCACACCATGCACCTCATTTGTCTCAACCCTCTGGTTGCAAAGTGGGATCCCTTTCTCTGCCATTTTGAAGTGCTAGAAAAAGAGGGTGACAATGGGACAGTCTTGAATGTCTCACTGGTTCTTAAAAATCTTTTGACCTGGCCAGCGAGGCTCAGTGGTTGAGAATCGACCTATGAATCAGGAAGCATTGCTGAGAGGTAAGTGGCAGGTTAGTGAGAGAATAAGGCCATAGCAACTTTATCTCATTTCAACTCTCAAAAGAAGATATAGGAGATTATCTCAAAAGACTGAGAAAAGGAAAAATTTCTCAAACTAGACCCAAAAAGTTCATCAAAAGATATCATAAATTAGCCCTGACTGGTTTGGCTCAGTGGATAAAGCGTTTGGCCTGTAGACTCAGGGTTCCCAAGTTTGAATCCGGTTAAGGGCATCTACCTTGGTTGTGGGCACATCCCCAGTGGGGGGTGTACAGGAGGCAGCTGATTGATGTTTCTCTTTCATCGATGTTTCTGACTATCCCTCTCCTTTCCTCTCTGTAAAAAATCAATAAAAAATATATTTTTAAAAAAAATATAAAATTAAAAAGACAAACTGTTAAGATATATTTGCAACAAACAAAGGCATCATAACCAGAATGGATTCTTTTTAATGCTTATTAAGATAAAAGCAAAAAGAGGTCGTTCCAAGATGACTTGACAGGTAAACATCTAGCCGCAGCCGCACACAACAATTTGAATAAAATACAACTAAAATATAAAATGGACATTACCCAGAACTACAGGAAAGTCAACTGACTGGAAATTCTACAACGAGAAGCAAGGAGAAAACTAGAAGGAAGCGCAGAGGAGCTGTAAAAGCCCAAGGTACAGAGACACACGGCGCGCGGAGAGGACGGAGGCTGAGTGCCTGGCTGGCGTTCCCTAGCGAGAAGGAGATAAAACTCTGACTATGCTGGGCCCCAGTTCTGACTGCTCTGAACCCTAGTTCTAGGCCAGACCCCAGGGACCCAGGCTCACACAGAGGGAGCTGGTCTGCGAGGCGGAACCCCGGGGAAGCGGCGAAAGGAGGTCCCGGAGGCGCGCACAATGTGCGTAGAGAAGGGACGGTTGGCTGTGCCGCGGGATTGCCCTGGTGGGAAGGAGACAGGGGCCCCAGACTGCTCTGAACGCCACCTCCAACTCCACTTCCAACTGAACTGAACCCCAATTCCGGGCTCATTGGGGGAGAGCCTAGACTGTTTGGCAGCAGGTGAAAATCGAGGGAACCTTTCTCTCAGAGGCGCTTGCAACTAGTACTGAAGGACCCGCATAGGGCGGGGCTGACGGAAGCCAAAGCTGCAGGCTCCACCCTGGAAACCCGCCCCATCCAAGCAGAACACAGAGACTTTTAAGGCTACCAACTCAGGAAAACTGCAAAAATGCCAAGACGAAATAGATCACAAACGAAAGAAATGGAGGACAAAAGCGACTGGATATAGAGTTCAAATCTACGCTTATAAGGTTTTTCAAGAATTTCCTAGAAAAGATGGATAAGACCTATGAGGATATGAAAAGGGATCAACTAGAATTAATAAGGAATCAACAAGAAATGATAATGGATCAACAAGAAATGATAAGGGATCAACAAGAAATAAAGAATACATTGACTGAAATAAAAAATATTATACAGAGTCCTAAAAACAGAATGGAAGATCGCAAGAATCAAGTCAAAGAGTTGGAACATAAAGAGCCAGAAGACACTCCGCAGAAGATAGAAGGCAAGAGAATCCATAAAATTGAAGATAATGTAAGAAACCTCTGGGACAACTTCAAGTGAACCAACATCAGAATTATGGGGGACCCAGAAGATGAGAGAGAGCAAGATATCGAAAACATACTGAAAGAAATAGTGACAGAAAACTTCCCCCACCTGGTGAAAGAATTAGACTTACAAGTCCAGGAAGCGCAAAGCACTCCAAACAAAAGGAATTCAAAGGAATTAGCAATTTTGCTAATTCACACCAAGACAAATCATAATTAAAATTCCAAGAGCAAAAGACAAAGAGAGAATATTAAAAGAAGCAAGAGCAAAGAAGGTAGTTAACTATAAAGGAGCACCTATACAATTTCCAGCTGATATCTCAACAGAAACCATGCAGGCCAGACGGGAATGGCAAGAAATATTCAAGGTGATGAATAGTAAGAACCTATAGCCAAAAATACTCTACCCAGCAAAGCTATCACTCAGAATCGAAGGTCAGATAAAGAGCTTCACTAATAAAAAAAGGCTAAAGGAGTTCATCAACACCAAGCCAGAATTATATGAATTGCTGAAGGGGGTTCTTTCGGAAGAGAAAGTAAATAAAAATAAAAATTATGAACAACAAATACGTAACTATCAACAAGTGAATCTAAAAACCAAGGGAATTAAAAAAAAAAAATCTGATGAACAATATTAACTGTTGAATATAATAGAATTAGAGGTATGGAAGGGGAGTGAACTGACGATTCTTGGGGGAAAGGGGAGAGGGGGATGTGGGAAGAGACTGAACATAAACTGTGCACCTATGGATGAGGACAATGGGGAGTGGGGAAAGGGCAGAGGGTGGGGTGGGAACCTGGTGGAGGAGAGCAATGGAGGGCGAGGGGGCGGGGGGTGGGGGAAGGGACATTTGTAATAATATGAACAATAAAAATTTATTTTAAAAAATAAATAAAAATAAAAAAGTCCCAGGGGAAAAAAAGATAAAAGCAAAAAAAGAAGGGGGAAAGGGGCAAAGTTTATGAACAGGTGTGTGCAGAAGAGGAAATAGAAATGGCTGGACCTTACTAGTGATCAGGTAAATACACAGAAAACCCTTCCATACCATTGGATCAATACTAACTTTAGTGCTAACATTCCAGGTCTT